CACACAAACACAAACACAAACACAAACACACACACACTGTGCGGGTCTCTGATGGGTCGAACAGTGGGTTGTGCTTTCTCTCCAAAGACCCATACAATTTCCTATGGAAAAGAAACACAACGGTCTGTCCAGTTTGGAAAACCGGGGCTCAGACCAGGCGCTGGAACGGACCCATCAGCGCGCTGCGTGGTCGACCAATCAGGAAGCAGGGTTTCAGTGCCTTTCCTATAAAAAGAGCGAAGCCACGCACACCGTCACAGTCCTAGCACTAAAGGAGAGATCAACGATGTCGTCTCGATACAGCTGTATGAAGTGCCAGACCAACAGTCAGCAATGTCCGTGGATGACTAAAGGTCTATTCGTGGACAATAGTGGCCTACCCTCCTGGTGAATCGGAGACGATCCTATCGCAGAGCCCACGCTGGTTTAAGAACAAGTCTGAGGCTATTGCAGCATTTCAACAAGCTATACAACGCGGAGTTGACGTCCTCGACTGCTGGCGTGGTCCGTATTATTATCCAGTATCGAGATCAAAGAAAGGTCGTATTTTCATCTAGTATCGAGATCAAGGAAAAGTAATGTAACAACGATGGAATACACACCCCTTACAACATGGATATAGCACGTTGTGTGGCGTGTACTGTCTGACCTATCGCGTGCGTAGGTGGACATTTAATCAAGTGTTAGATACGTTGGACTGGAAGGACACCGCTCTGTTCCTGTGGATGAGATGCCAGCCTTTCGACTGAGTGTCCAGACACATACCCTACATCAAAAGAACCGACCTTTCTGCCCTTATTGACCTGACACTTGTTCACTGAACCTACGAGCACCTGACTGTCAGCGTTCCTGTTTGAGGAGTGTACATACGTTCACTGCGTGGTAGAAATGTACATACGTTCACACCCCCAAGTGACAAAGTTCCTGTTCACTGTGTTTTAGGAGTGTACATACGTTCACACCTTAGTGGTAAAAAAAAAGAAAAAAAGTTCATGTTCACAAAAATCACAGGGACGCCCCTAATCCTGTGGCTTTTGTTTTGTTGTGTTGGTTCATGTGATCAGGGGATTAAAAAGTTGAAAAAAAAAGAAGTGTTGTGTTGTCTTTTTTAGGATGGGAATCGACATGCACACCCCAGAGAAAAAACAACAACAAACAAGATCGACATCTGACCGCTTCCTGCATTCCCACACCACGTCCATGTCTGTGCATGTTGATTCACCTTTAGAATTCAGGCGTCCGTTCCACAACATGATCGTAGCGCTGAGGTGATCGTCATTCACATACTTTAACTTAGACGAACGACTGTCATTGTGCTACAATACGATCGCCTTGTGGAACGAGACCTTGCCCCTCAAAGTTAACAAACACGTCATAATACCCGCAAGATGCAAGATCCTTTGGGGATGTGACGTCAACCTAGCAACACAAGTTGCTCGGTCATCGACTGTGTATAATCTCGTCTCAGTGATCTATCATCTCCACACGCAATCGACACACACCCTGCCACACCCTCCCCCTCCTCCCTCATCACTCCAGAATGTTCTTTTCTTCAGTTTTTATTTTTATGCTTTTAAATGAATGTCAAAATATGTTTCGAAGCATAGTCACCAGTTTAAAACTCGTGTCGTAAAGCTGCCTTCTGATTGGCTAATGTCGACGTCAGTCATTCAATTGGTCGGTCAAAGTTCGCAAAAGGTCGGTCTGGCGTGACCCGTAATGAGATGTCCTCAGATCTTTGTCTGGCGGTAGCGAGAACTAAGATCTGATTTTAATGAGATTGGGTCTAGGTGCATAGCTGTGTAATTTCACAATGTATCTCGCCTAATGTCGTACAATTTTGCATTGCGTTGGAGAAACTATCCAGGAAATATGTTTACGATCATTTTTTTCTCAATTGAGGGGCAGTCTGTTGTCAAGTCAGGCAAGAGTGAGTGAGTGAGTGAGTTTGGTTTTACGCCGCTTTTAGCAATATTCCATCAATATCACGGCGGGGGACACCAGAAATGGGCTTCACGCATTGTACCCATGTCGGGATTCGAACCCGGGTCTTTGGCGTGACGAGCGAACGCTTTAACCACTAGGCTACCCGACCGCCCCTAGGCAGGCAAGAAGAAACCTACCTGGACAGCATGAGCAACGTTCCACGACGTACGATAACATACAATCACAAGACATGCCATCTGGTTACCAAGAATAACAACAGCTCATACTCTCCTTGAGATTACAAACAACCACGTATCTACAGTGCATCTGACACAGACAAGCCAGATAGAAGGTAGCATCAAATCTCACACGATCTATTTAGCCAATAGAATATCTTTAAGATATGTTTCGATTGTTGCACAGATAAAATGTTATCATTAATTGACGAAACGTGACAAAATATTTCTTGTTGAGCATTTATTCTTTGTTTACGTTATCGTGTATCGTATAACGTAGAACGTTGTTTGTTTGTTTCATGTTTAACGCCGCACTCAGCATTATTCCAACTATATGACTCTGGTCTGAAAATAATCGCGCGTGAACAAGACAATCTAGTGATTGACATCATGAGCATCGACCCACGTAATTGGGATACGATGACATGTATCAACCAAGTCAGCGAGCCAGACCATCCGATCCCGTTAGTCGCCTCTTACGACAAGTAAAGTCGCCTTTTACGACATCTATGGGTTGCTGAAGACCTACTCTATCCCGGATCTTCACGGGTCTAGAATAAGGTAACGACTCGTCATTTTGATGTGTTTCAAAAAGCAGTAACTATCAGTTACTGTCGCGTGTGTAACAATACGTCTCAGTAAATATAATTTATATAACAATCTTAAATAATATGGAAAGCCATCCACTTTCAAGGACTGCACCGATTTCAGTTTATCGCGTTTGACTACTAACGAGAGCAACGGATAATCGCTTGGTATGCACATTAGCTGACATTACTGCATGGATTGGTACAAAGGAGCTCCTTTGTCTCGGAATTCACTCGGCTCATCACAATCCCATCTATCTATCTCAGTCAGCATTGGGAACATCCATATTGCAGCTGGAATAAGTCTCACAAGTCCACGTGACAATCACGTTCCACAACACACACTGGTGGAAGTCGTGACCATTCAATACAATAGTGTGGGATATTTGATTATAATTTCATTTCGTGGTCTGATATTTGGAGTTCACACACCTGTGAACGGAAAAAAAAGTTCACACGATGTGAACAATTTTTTTTTCCCCGGGTTTTCCCCGAATTCTCGATCATTGTTTACGATGAACTCGTTTTTCTATTTTCTTTTTAATCCCTGCATTTATCAGCAGTATAATTAATTTAGTATTTTTGCCTGGTCTTGTAACATTTCATCTTACTTATAAGTAAATAAATGCTTTGGTTCTGGTGTTTGATGTCATCTAGCTGCTACATGAAACAAAATGGATTGTCCTCACGGTGATTTGGATATGGAATAACGCAAATAAAGAAAATAAATTCTCTAAAATTACTGAGGTGAACGAAATTGATATATTGACTTTGATGCCTTGTTTTCGGAAATGACAGGAATCTAGCAACAATGAAAACAATGTAGTACCCTGCTCAGATGTGTCCGCTGACACAGAGCAAACGCGACTGCTCCTGATCAATCCCAAACTAAAACCGATTCATTATTGTACCGGGCAAAAAATCTAGGATTTTGAGAAACTATAAAACATAAACATAAATTTTAAAACCAAAAAACAAGAAACCCAACTTGCCTACCTGTTTTACCGATTGGTCATCGGAGACGAGAAACTATCCGTAGACGGAATCAGAAATCTACTATTCCGGTTTCTGAGCTTGCCGACCTTCTCCGTGCAATCTAGGTCGTGGAGTGGCGGCACATGAGGAGTGACGGGGCAAAGAAATGAAGCTGGTTATACAGTAGGTCCTCTCAGGTGACAAGAAACACCAGCTAAGCAAAGAATTACAGCACACGCGACAAATCCCAAACACCAAATATAACACACCCTAACGTTGAAAATTAACACAAAACACGCAGGTTTCAGAGCATTCGGTTCAATCCCCACAAAACCAACAGCAGGGGACATTGTTTCAACACGAGAATGCCAGGCCCCATCCTGCAAGACGGACTTGGAACTTTCTAAACCAGCAGAACGTTGACGTTTTGCCCTGGCCTGCCCACTCACCCGATATGAATCCTATTGAACATCTGTGGGACCATCTTGACAGACAGATTAGAGCACGCCATCAGCCTCCCGTCAACAGACAAGAATTGCAGCAGGCCCTGAGAGACGAGTGGCAACGGATTCCAGTCCACGTCATCAGAAGACTGACGTCATCGATGAGGCGGGGTATCACAGCATGCATTGGGGCAGCTGGACGTCATACACGCTATTGAAGGCAACTGTGTCGACAATGAACTTGTAGAGTGTCTGACAATTTTTTGGTGACATTTCAGACAACTTTTGAAAATGAATTTTCATACCCCACCATTGTTTACCTTGAGCTTACATTACCTGTGATTGCACAATTTCATTTAAACTGTGGTTGATCAATCATTTGTTACCCCTCACCTAGATTATATTATAATTCACAACAAAACCTCTTCTTTTCTTTCTTTTTTTATCGATCATGGAACTCGACCTATACTTCTTTTGCCGCCCAGTTTATGTGTTGTCTAACTTGAAAATTAGAATCTTTACGCACTTTAGGATTTTAGTGGTAGACGATTTGTGACGTAAGCAAACCGCGCTCACACAATTATTTTCAGTATGATGATAGGTCGGCTCGCTTTAAGATATGAAAAAATGAATAACCATCACATACTACGAATGAACATGTAAAAACACATAAAAGTAATATAATCGATTCTTTTTAATGTTCAAATGTAATTTGTCTTCATAGTTTTTTGAATGAAAGTCGAAAATGTTTTGGTGAAACATAATAATAATATAAATATATCATAAAACATTACCAATATTTGTTACAAATAAAATCTAACATGAACGGTCCCCAAAAGCTGGAAAAAACGTTAAAAAGCAGCTAATTGTCTAAAATGTATGGGTATTAAAGCAAGCCTCCAAAGAGTACGAGTTTCCACAATACTCAAACAGTAAGTCATCTGTGAACTTGTACAAACACTATTTACAAGTCGTGAACTGATCGTAACATACGGCAATGGTGTGTATTTCGTGTAAGAGCTGATGAAATGGTACAAATATAATGTTCAACAAATACTGTAGATCTGCGGTACAACATGGATCGACTCTCAAATGTTGATATTGATTTCAGCATGCCTGCTGAAGTCAAAGGGAGGTAATAACGTATACCAACGCTGGAACCTAATCTGCTGCACGAGTCGATTCAAAAAGCAGTGCTTGATTTCATTAAGCAAACTGGAATATATGACATAATCTGAACATGCTATCATTCAGTGTAACGGTTCTGTAATCAGATCGAGCATCTTATATCAATAAACTAAAATTCAGTACAAAAGACAAGTTTTATTTCCACTAGATAAAATTTCAGTGTCCATGTAGGAATGATTTAGACAGTGTTCTAGATCCGACATTACACCTCCGAGTCCACAACTGGCTTCTGGGGCGGTGTGACAACGTGAGCCCTCTCGTCCTGGTCGTTAATGATGACATCCTCCGTTTTGATCTGGCGCAGTATACCTGGCGCCACGCAGTAAAACACCCTGTAACAGTATTGCTATACGTTAACATTTGTCAAGCAATAAAACGCCCTTTAACAGTATTGTTATACGTCAACATTTGTCAAGCAATGCAACACCCGTAACAGTATTGCTATACGTTAACAATTGTCAAGCAATAAAACGCCCTTTTACAGTATAGCTATACGTTACCATTTGTCACACTGTCAAGTAATGCAACACCCTGTAACAATATTGCTATACGTTAACATTTGTCACACTGTCAAGTAATGCAACACCCTGTAACATTATAGCTATTCTTTAACATTTGTTACACTGTCAAGCAATGCAACACCCTGTAACAATATTGCTATACGTGAGCATTTGTCACACTGTCAAGTAATGCAACACCCTGTAACAATATTGCTATACGTTAACATTTGTCACACTGTCAAGCAATGCAACACCCTGTAACAGTATAGTTATACGTTAACATTTGTCACACTGTCAAGCAATGCAACACCCTGTAACAGTATAGTTATATGTTAACATTTGTTACACTGTCAAGCAATGCAACACCCTGTAACAGTATAGTTATACGTTAACATTTGTTACACTGTCAAGCAATGCAACACCCTGTAACAGTATAGTTATACGTTAACATTTGTTACACTGTCAAGCAATGCAACACCCTGTAACAGTATAGTTATACGTTAACATTTGTTACACTGTCAAGCAATGCAACACCCTGTAACAGTATAGTTATACGTTAACATTTGTTACACTGTCAAGCAATGCAACACCCTGTTACTGTATAGTTATACGTTAACATTTGTCACCCTGTCAAGCAATGCAACACCCTGTAACAGTGTAGCTATACGTCAACATTTGCACACTGTCAAGCAATGCAACACCCTGTAACAGTGTAGCTATACGTCAACATTTGTCACACTGTCAAGCAATGCAACACCCTGTAACAGTGTAGCTGTACGTTAACATTTGTCACACTGTCAAGCAATGCAACACCCTGTAACAGTGTAGCTGTACGTTAACATTTGTCACACTGTCAAGCAATGCAACACCCTGTAACAGTGTAGCTATACGTTAATATCTGTCACACTTTCAAGCAATCAACATGTTTCACACTTTCATGCAATATACCCCACTGTAATAGGCATCCCAAGCACGGAAAGAACTTCTTGGAAAAGGAAGCGTGCAGGTTCTGATCTCAAGTGTAACTCCAACACAATAGTGCCCTCTGATTCGTTTCGGTACAAGTGATATTTTTATGAAACTGTCACAAAATGAAATAGTGCTTACAAAGCATTAATGTTTATTATTATGAAAGCGGGGATGCGCGTTCACACCCTCTGGATCAACGTCAGAAAGTTTAATAATGTTGGTACATGTACTAAGTAAGTATAATGTTTGTACTAACACAAGTATGATGGCTGTTAGGACACGTGTTCCACCACACGTGAAATAGACGAAACCGCGCATCGTCTCCACGGTTGCATCATAAACCGCTCCGTAAACTGCCAGCCCCGTCGTACTCGCCACAACTCCCGCCACAGTCAGTCCCGCAAACAAAGAACCTGAACGAATGAAACTTATATCAGTGTATGACATAACTCAATTATCAACCGATTGGTCATCAATAGTATTATCCCGATTCTCAAATCAGGAGCCACAAATACCAATCACAACAAACACAAGAAGGGTGATTGTGAATAATAAAAATATAATAAGTAAATACTCACACAACTTCAACAAGGTCGATAATGAAATTGAAATAATTACGAATGATATATAGTTCTTCACAGGTGAGGAATAACTTAAACATTCAAACAGTCAAGTTTCCCTTTATGTCGAGCAATATTCCAGCAGCCTTTGTTGTCTACATTTCACAACTGTTGACGTACCAAGGGTCAGGGTTGCAACATTCAAAACCTCAGTAAAGATTTCAAAAAGTTTTATGGCAGACACGTGGAGGACATTTCCAAATTTGACACAACATTGATTATACTCATGTTCGATGCAATTCCATATTTTGAATTGTAACATAATTATGTTCCCGTGTTTCTTCCAGGTGAACATTTGACTTGCCTTTGCATGTGTTTCTGAGGGTGCCAACGGTGGGGCAGGAACACATGGTATCATCACTTTTTCATAGTGATTAACAATCACATGCTCCTGAAATCCTCGGAATTAAACAATGGATACTACAATATCAGTGTGCACTGGATAAAGCCAGGCTTTGTTTGTTTGTTGTTTAACGTCGATCTTAGCAGTATTCCAGCTTTATGACGGTGGTCTGGATCTGGATCAGACAATCCAGTGATTGACATCATGAACGTCGAACTACACATTTGGGATACGATGACATGCATCAACCAAGTCAGCGAACCTGCTCACCCGATCCCTTCAGTCGCCCCGGCAATGATAAAGCCAGGAGCTATCTAAATCACATAAGCTATCACAACGTTAATGAAAAATGATGAGCACTGTGTAGTGTAATTTACGTAGTATGGAGGCCGTCGGGTAGCCTAGTGGTTAAAGCGTGCGCTCGTCAGGCTGAAGACCCGGATTCGATTTCCCACATGGGTACAATGTGTGAAGCCCATTTCTGGTGTCCCCCGCCGTGATATTGCTGGAAGATTGCTAAAAGCGGCGTAAAATCATACTCACTCACTCACTTAAGTAGTATGGTATTACACCACAAAAAGCAATATTCCAGCCATATTATTGCGCATCATGTACACTTTAGCCATGAAGGGAATGGTGAGTCCTTACCCTGAATGTCTGCTGGGGCCATCCTGGACACAATCCCCCTGAGAACTGGCGACAAGGGAGCGGCTAGTGCTGCCAGAACAGTTTCTGTAAGGCACAAGGACACACGCATTAGGGCTGGGACGAGTCCAAATTTACTACCCGGGTACCAAACTATTACCCGACCCTACCTAGGTACCCGCTGTAGGGCTCAAGAGATGGGTACAAATGTCCCAATGGAACAGTTTAACCATAGCCCTGGCAAAATGTATTTAGATACAGGTTTAAAACGATCTGGTCATGCATACACTGAAGTTGACTGAAGTTTTATCTCTATTCACATTTATAAAGTCAGAAAGGAATGCGAATAATTTTTGCCACTAAACAATATATCACGTGACTAACCACGGGTCCGGGTAGACGTGTGGGAATCCGGGTCCTACACAGGGACCACCCGACCCGAGTACCCGAGTTACCCGTTCCAGCCCTAACAGCATACAGAAAAAATGAGGGCAGGTGTAGGGTGCTTTCCATGAAGCTATCACTCACACTTTACTCCCTTTGGGAGAAACATCATTTAATGAAACTTAAGGTCATGTTTAAAGTAGCACGAGTATAAGGAAGAACTATACAGCTATGTATAAATGGTATTTGTAACAATGTAAAAGGATTCCATACTATGTTTTTATCGGAGATGTTCTAAGGCATCACGCGATGACATCAACATAACCATTACACCTGAACATTTAAAGACACATTGACCACTTATTCTGTCATATGACTGCGTTTGTTGTTAGTTGTTTAACACCGCACACAGCAATATTCCAGCTATATGACGGCGATCTGTAAATAAACGAGTTTGGACCAAACAATGCAGTGACTGACGTCATGAGCATCGATTCATGTAATTGGGATCGATGACATGAGTAGTTATAACCCGTACCCTGGTAACCAAGCCAGCAGGAGTTATCTCCCCTACCGGAAAGACCGCCATCTTGTATTGGCGAAGAGGGGCATGCTGGGTCATGCTTGCGCATCGAAGATGGCACGTCCGTTTCCGGGAGGGCGTGCGCATGCCTTCAAGATGCCGTCACGTCCGGTTCCGGGGAGGCGTGCTCCTCCAAGAGGGCGCCATATCCGGTTCCGGGCAGGAGGAGGACATGAGAAGTACTCGTAAAATCCTCCACTTCAAAATTAAAATAAGCGCACGTAAAATCCTGTACTTCCATTAGAAAAGCGCAAAAGAAAGGAGGTGGTGATGGAGGGAGGGAGGAGGAGGAGGGAGGAGGAGGGAGGGAAGGAAGGAGGAAGAGGAGGGAGGGAGGGGAGAGGGAGGGAGGGAGAAGGGGGGGAGGAAGGAGGAGGGAGGGAGGGAAGAGGAGGGAGGGAGGGAGAGGGAGGGATGAAGGAGGAGGAGGGAGTGAGGGAGGAGGAAGAGGGAGGGAGGGGGGAGGAGGGAGAGGAAGGAGGTGGAGGAGGATGAGTTTTTTTGTTGTGGTTGGTAGGCAAAGCAATGATGAAAGCGTTCTTTAGGGAGAGTGGGTCCTCCTCCTCCTCCTCCTCCTCCTCCTCCTCCCTCCCTCCCTCCTCCTGCTCCTCCCTCCTCCTGCTCCTTCCTCCCTCCCTCCTCCTCCTCCTCCTCCCTCCTCCTCCCTCCATCCCTCCTTCTCCTCCTCCTCCTCCCTCCTCCTCCTCCTCCCTCCCTCCTCCTCCCTCCCCCCCCTCCACAACCACCCCCACCACACGTCCGTGACGCCATCTTGGAAGCGCACGCATGACCCAGCATGCCCCTCTTCGCCAATCCAAAGATGACGGCACTTCCGGTAGAGGAGATTACTCCTGCTGGCTTGCTTACCAGGGTATGGGCTATAACTACTGACATGCATCAACCAAGTCAGCGAGCCTGACCACCCAATCCCGTCAGTTGCCTCTTACGACAAGCATAATCGCCTTTTACGGCAAGCATAGTATGCTGAAGACCTCTTCGAACGCGGTTCTCCACGGGTTCACATGACTGCGTGTCACCTGAATGTTAACAGCTTTGCTGAAAGCAACTAGCACTTATACGTTGCTGGAACTTAAATACACAGAGTACTCACGTGCATATATCATGTAATCAGTGTAGGCGAGGCCGTGAAGAACGTCGGATCCCCCTCTCACCAGTGCCGTCAAAATGGCGATCATCTCGTCCCCTGTGCACATGTGAAACAGCTTGATCACACCAACAGTCAGGAACTGATATAGTAGCATGGCCGCCATATTGACGTAGCCAATCATCTCTGGACCCCAGCAAAACGGTTGATTAAGAAGCAGCATATAATCTATGGATCCGGTGCCAGAATTACCTACATATGTGATGAAGAACGCTATGAACGCTATCCAAAACAATGACCTCTTCCTGCCAAATGTTTTGGAGAAATAGAATCCAAATACGTTCTTAATAGCTTTAGTTGGTGCAATGCAAGGCGACTGTTTCTTTTCAAGAGGAACGGTCTCAGGAAGTATAACAATAACGAAGAAGACTGTGAGAAATACAAGAGCTGCTGTCACAAAAGATGGCCATGCAAAGCCCATATATTGGATAAAGTATCCAGTTCCGGCTTGAGAAAGAGCAGCAGCGAAGTATGTTGTAAAGTCTACAGCAGCCATTCCAATCGTCCGGGATGCTTTAGGTGGTGTGTTGTCCGCGGTATATACATAGCTGGCCAGACTTACACCATTATATCCGGCCATGATTCCGGTGATGGCTTCTCCAATATACATGTATCGCAGGTCCATGTCCCAGTACATGACAGCTGTACACAGCGCATTGCGAATACCTTCGCCCATCAATGGAATCACAAACAGTATCCGTCGCCCGATATAATCGGAGTACGAACCAAGCAGTATGCAACTTATGATACACATCGGTGTGCCAATGTAGCCGAACATTACTGTTATGTTGTTACTCATTTCTTCAGCTTGAAGATGAATCAGGTATGCAGGATCTGATTTGTTGACAAGACATTTTGGTGTTACGTTGTTGGAGGAAGTATCTGTTCCATTGTCCTCTAGCTCGCTTAAATAACGCTGATATAGATACTGGTTGAGAACAGGATTCCTCATATTAACAGACAAGTGAAAGGTCAAGAACACTATATTGGCCTTGAGGAGATTTCCCAACTTGGTTCTGTCTTCTGAATCTTTCCTAAGATGAAGCAGCGGCGTTGACTCCATACTGACAGCAGGCAAGGTTATTCACACCAGCAGCCACTTCTCTGTGTGGGTAATGACCACAGGTTATCGTTTTGTCTGTAATCTGTGCCTACACAGTTACGTATATGGATAGATACAGATATCAAAGTTACTAGGTCGGGATGAGTGATGGACAAACTATGCTTATACGCTCGTAATCTGTCGTGAGTGAGCTAGTGAGTGAATGTTGAACAACGCACTTTACACTATTGCCGTTATTTCAATGCGGCTTGTGAGGATTCGAATCTGGAGCAGACAGACCATCTAGTCAGTATTGGCGCAAGTGATTGTTTTCTGTGCTAAGGTATTCCCCCCATGGACTTCAGTACAGTACAACTCACTGGTCGTAAGCAACAACTGTGTGGTTCATGTGGATTCAGTTTATGCCCTTGCTGTCACGTGACCCGATGGCTTATATGATTGCACATGCAACCTTCCCGGTAAGGACTATATTATTTACAGACTTCCCGCATATAACGTATATATTGCTGACGTTAAACAACTCTCACTCATTCAATCACTTAACTACAGTTTTAGAGATCGTAAACGATCGATGGTGGTAAGGTGCATAAGATGTAAATGTAAAATAGCGATTGTACGAATGACGGAACCTTTGTATTATTGCAAGCGTACATAATGGTGATCGTTCCTCCTTTAATATGTGGTACATGTGAAGGTAAGCCGACCCTCATAGACTACTGGGCGCTTATACACACACACATACAAACGCACCACACCGCATCGCGTCGCATCGCACAACACTACACCACACACACACACACCAAACACACACACCGCGCGCGCGCGCGCACACACACCGCACAAACAAACACACAAACCCCACGTACAAAAAACAACAAAAAACACACACACATACACACACACACACATACATACACACACCCGACAAACAAACACACTCACTCACACACCAAACATACAAACACACTACACTACACGTACAAACACACAAACACACACACACCAGACATACATACACACACCGCACAAACACACACACACCAAACATACAAACACACTACACTACACGTACAAACACGCACACACACCAGACATACATACACACACCGCACAAACACACACACACCAAACATACAAACACACCACACCACACGTACAAACACACACACACACACCAGACATACATACACACACCGCACAAACACACACACACACCAAACATAAAAACACACCACAGCACACGTACAAACACACACACACCACACCAGACATACATACACACACCGGTCAAACAAACACACACACTCACACACCAAACATACAAACACACCACACCACACGTACAAACGCACACACGAACACGCGCGCACACACACACACACACACACACAAGCACACACACACACACACGCACGCACGTACGCACGCACGCACGCACGCACGCACACACACACACACACACACACACACACACACACACACGCACGCACGCACGCACGCACGCACGCACGCACGCACGCACACACACACACACACCGGACAAACAAACACACCACACCACACGTACAAACACACACACACACCAGACATACATACATACACCGCACAAACACACACACTCACACTCACTCACACACACACACTCACACTCACTCACACACACACACTTACTTTTAGAGACACGCCTGTTTGTCTGTCAAGGCTGTCCATAGATGCTACTCATGATATCAGGTTGTCTGCAGGGACAATGGCGGACAAGGGCGGTGTCTACATCCGTAGGGAGTGTCTTATGCGGGCTCCTTACCTAATTCTGGAAAAAGTTCCAACAAACCAGGTTCTTGTCACGTTAATACTTTCAACTTGTTACATTGTGGTGGTAACGTTAGTCCTGCACCATGACTGTGGAATATATTTATTTTATGAGAAAAACAACAATCTAGAAACGCATACAAAAGCAAGTCTAGCCAGCTCTGGCTAGCTCTATTCCACAGTCTACGAAATCAGCACTAACATTTTAAAAAAAAATGCAAAACAGTCACGATAACTGGTCTTCTGGGTCGGATTCCAGCCTCGCGAAGATGGTTCCTGACAGTCTTGTCCCATACCCTCCTCAAACCAGGAATGCGTCCTGCAGTCTCCGTGGCAGTGGCATTGCGATGACGTAGGTGGAACAGTCGAATGTAGCGATCCTGTACAGGGGTGGTAACTCTTGGTCGGCCGGTTCTCGGACGGTCTGCAATGGAATTGATCTGTGTGTATCGGGCACAAAAGCGGCAAATGGTGCTGTGGTGGACGTTGACAACAGAAGACTGCGTTTCCCCTCTTTGGATACGTCCTATGGCGATGTTCCGATCGGCAGCGCTGAGTCTCGGCATTTTCGAACATGAAAAATGTTGACAATTGAATGACAAATTATTGGCTCTTGCTTGCCTGTTTATAGCCACTACCACGAGTTACGGATGCCATAACTTGCACGTGCATTTTGCTTTACTGTTTACCTCCATGACATTTTTTAACACAGGTGAAAACAATGCCGTTTAAGACATTGCAAATCGACAATGGCAGCGTTTTGACGCACCGTTTGTCGAATATCAGGCCACCAACATTTTCAAAAAACATATATCCAATTTATATAACGGATGTTTTGTGTAGTCAGGTTCAATGAACAACATACTACCTGTGCGTTTCTTTTTTTGACGAGTGTACATGCATTAGGTGAGTTGAGGTGAGGTGAAATGGGGTTTAACGTCGCGTCGAAGATTATTGCATTTATATAGCGACGTGCATGCACGTGTGTGGTCGTTCTGACGTGACTCGTAATGGGATGTCCTCAGATCTTTGTTGACCGCCTCCGTGGTATAGTGGTAGAGCGTCCGCCCGAAGAGCGGAAGGTCCGGGGTTCCATCCCCGACCGCGTCATACCTAAAGACGTTAAAAGATGGTACTTGTTGTTACCCTGTCTGGCGCTCGGCATTAAGGGGCTAAAGCAAGGACTGGTCGGCTCGGAGTCAGTATACTGTGTCTGAGTGGGGTATTCATGTTAAACTGCGGCATGGTACCTCAGTGAGCTAGCACTATAAATCGGCATCAGTCCGGACTAGTACAAGCAGCCACACAAACACACACACGTACATGCGCGTCGCTATATAAGTGCAATAATCTTGGACGCGACGTTAAACCCCATTTCACCTCACCTCACCTCAGATCTTTGTTTAGCGGCAGCGAGAATTTAGATCTGATTTGAATGAGATTGACATATATCATGTGTTTCAGTTTGCAGGGTTACTGTTACAGACTTTCCCAGCTGCATTAATGAAGGTTATCACGAACAATAGGGTCTACACATGCTGGCTATAAGATCAGAGTAATTGTGAGAATTTAAAACCTATAGTTCAATTAATCACATACTGCATCATCACCTCAAGTTGATAATAATGTTAAAATTAAAATGGCATGTAGACTTAAATTTTAATACTCTGGAATAGGAAGTGTTTATTTTTCTTGTTTTCTTTAAATCAATTGAAGGTGACATTGCTGTTAATACATGGTTTGTATACAAGGAAATAAAAAAACCCGTCCCCATTTGACTTATCAGTGACTAAAATGATGTCCGATGAAATGTGTGTGTGGCGAGTGTCATTTCGTGAATACCTGGTATCATCTCTGTTTGAAACTTACTGATAAGTTCATACTATCTCCGCTAGACATAAAGGGAAAGGCGACTATTGGAAGTTGACGTCATACTTCTTGTCATACTGTCTTGTCACAATCATATCGTATGTTATCTGAAAGCTATTTAATCTGTTATCATCACATTGAACTTAAAGAATTATTCTAATGTGCATAGCCACACACCAGGGTTCAGCAGAAATCGAATGATGTCTATCATGGCCAGGTGCCTCTAAATAGGGCTGGACCACCTCCGTGGATAGAACGTGGTTTTAGTCTTGCTGTGTCAGCAACATACAGGTCACAAATGTGTTTTGCTGATCTGGAACGTCTTACAACTTCATCACTCACAGCGTTCCTGTCACTTCAAGCCTACACTGCGCGATAGAACTGAAATTCTTTTCAGAGTAACGCTAACCCAACTCATGCACGAAAATGAGAATCTGGGTTGAATGAAGACATGGGTTATGTGGCATACCTGTCTTACCATGAGGAAACTTATGTGGGCGTGGCATACCTGTCTTATCATGAGGAAACGTATGCATTTACTTTATCGAGATGCCTCTGTTTGCATTATGCATAGAATTCAATAAATCAGTCTGGACGACTTCCTTTTGCACTGACGCCTCTTATGTCAATTTGTGTACAAATAGGGTTTATCCGTGTGCTTGTGTCAAAGATTAGGACAACACCATAGACCCATAAACAAACTCACGGCACAATTTAGAAGGTGGATCAATTCAATACAAACACGGGGCATTATAAAGCATTTGAAATCTTTGTTTATTACAGTAAACTACGTTTATAACGAACAAGCTTATAACGAACATATTTTTTGGTCCCGGCCATTTGCTGTATATATGCATATAACGAACTGCGGTTATTACGAACTAAAATTAGTGGTCCCTTTGAGTTAGTTATAACCGTAGTTTACTGTATTTAGGAAATATGCTGATCAAGTCTAATGACTATGACCTTTATTAAACAGACGGGACCAAGCGACATTTTTCATATCAGAGGATTTGTGTTATCACGTCAGCAAAATGTTTTTATGTTGGCCACTGTGTGCCCCATTCTGCACTTTGGTCTTCAATTACCAAGTGCATCAATTGTGGCATGTCAAGTGTGATACAGTGTCTCGCGAGTCATGTCAAGTACTTGATAATACGGATAACGACCATCGACTTCAAGGAACAGTGTTTACATCATCAACGAACAGGGTTGACAGTTTGAAACCATGTCAAATAGCCTAGACATGTTCTTGTATAAGGATTAAAGTGAGTGAGTGAGTTGGGTTTAACGCCGCTTTTAATCGCGGCGCCTTAGACGACTGGGCCACCCGTGCCCCCTAAGGATTAGAGGAGATACGTTGACCTCAGTTACCACTGTTAGTATACAATATAATGTCCTATATTGTTTAACGTCGCACTCGGTATTCACGTCATGACTAAGATACGTGTCATGCATTTTCTTGTTCCTGCAGCTAAATTCCCAAAGTGATTTTGACGCACAGACAATACATAACTTCAGCATAACTGAATACACTGTTCATGTCATTTATCATCTTTCAATAAATTGTGTAAACTTGTAAATCTGTTTTGGTCACCCTATCCCTCATTGGCCTGTGTCTGTAAAGACGTCTCTCTTAGAAACACATAAATACAAAAGAAAATAGATCCCCTGTACAGACACGTTCATGTAACGAAAAATATCGAAGCTTCTGTCTCTTCCCTTCATTGTCGGGATGGTGCGCTAGCCTGGTGGTTAAAGCGTTCGCTCGTCACGCCGAAGACCCGGTTTCGATTCCCGACATTGGTACAATGTGTGAAGCCCATTTGTGATGTACCTTCCTCTCTGATTCCTCACAATAATCCCTAAATCGTTTCCTGACCCTATTCCTTCATCCATCCACCGTCCCCCCTCACTACCACCCTCAACCCCCAATCTTGTCTCGCTCATATTCCTTCAATATATCAACACTATGTACAACATCTTTAAGAATGTTAATAAAATACACAAGCTTTAAAATATGTACCCGTATTTAAATAATGACGACTCTCTGAATACAGGGGGATTAAGTTTGGTGCTTCCCAGAAATTCTCACAATTTTCGATTATCTGTTCCTTTTCTCCCAATATCGATTGTCATATCTCTCCCACTTTTGGATGCGATCATTGCGTTTCTTTGTGTTGCCTTGCTTCATCTATGCGGAACAATTCACAACACACTTCCCTCTCCAAAATTACGTCGTCAAACTTACGACGTCATGAAGTTGCGAGCGCATGTCAGAATCTCCAGAAAGGACGTCATGACAATGTTTTATCATGAAATAAACCACATTGTTCTTCATTGTCCTTTTCGATTTATCGCGTAGCTATCTTATATTGGGCTACCAAGTCCAGTTACAACTTTTTAGTGTATGTTATAATCGGAAGACATTCAATACAAAATACATTGACCTCAAAACATTGTTCTCACGGCGCTACCCATGACTGTTTGTCAGTGATGTTGGCGGACATGGGGGTACATCCTGCGTTGTTGTACTGGAAGCTCCGTTCCCCATAATTTTAACTGTGTAGACACAAGGCATTCCTTGAACTGGAACAAGTAGAGTCATTCTGGAATAAGGAGCAAATATTAGAATCAAGTCGGTACGGGGTCTATGATGTCAAGAGTAGTTTTCAATTCATATTTCGCAATATTTCCATACAACTCGGGGGCACGGGGGGCCCAGTCGTCGCGATTCGCTGTGCAGAGTTGCGTCCATTGGGCACGCCAGAAACCTATGATTGCTGGTTCGAATCCCGGTTGGCCCCGATTATGTTTCTAGGTTTGTCAGCATCATACCAATGCTCGTGGTTTTCACCGAAGTGGTAAACATCTGAGACCTGCATCACTTCGGGCTTTCTTCCCACATTAATCTGACACGCCGTGATATTACTGGAATACTTTTAAAAGCGGCGTTAAACCCAGCTCACTCACTCACTCCACACAACACAGGGGCATGCTCAAAGCGCTACATTATTATTACCCTGGTCAATGGATCAGTGTGCACTCGATTTTCATTCTCAGCTCCCCAGGGAGTATAGATCCCACGCTGCCAGAGTTTAACATGTTACAAATAAATATTAGTGAGTGAGTATGGTTTTACGCCGCTTTTAGCAATATTCCAGCAATATCACGGCGGGGGACACCAGAAATGGGCTTCACACATTGTACCCATGTCGGGAATCAAACCCGGGTCTTCGGCGTGACGAGCGAACGCTTTAACCACTAGGCTACCCGACCGCCCCTCAAATAAATATTAACAAGACAGCGTTTGTGTAAATCATTTGAAATGGTTTCGTCTCAAACCAACGGGTTTTTTTACCTCTAAACTTTCGAATCTTCTTCTGCTGTGGCTGTGCTTGGTGTGGGCTCCTTGTTATCCTGTATGTTGATGATCTCCGTCTGTTGCATGTACCCCATCTTGCCGAGCACAGCGAACCCACTGCAACCAGAATTGACGATCATCACTCTGTTACTTCTTTTTTGACATTTTATTTTTCTGGTATATTATTCTTTTATTCAAAGAAATTCATTCAGTTCAGCTTGGTATTTTAAATATTTAACTTTTGTTCTTTTTTACTACATTTTTGGTATTTTTGTTTTTTTCCTGGTTAAATAATCCGTGTCAGAATGCTCAGGGTATCTTCCTGATTTTAAAGTTACTTCCTGTCATTCAATTCCGTATGTTCTCCCAAGACAGACATGTTGAAAGGATTCAAAGGAAATCATTGAAAATTTAAAAGGAATCGCAAAGGATTTATTATGGGAGTGGAAAGTCCACAGTATTTGTGAGTTTTTATTTTGTTATTTATTTATTTCAAAATTTAGTTTTACTTTTTATTGTTTTGTTTGTTTGTTTACATTTTTACTTATGACTGTTATTGTTTATTTATTTTAGCTTGTACCGGTTTAACTGTGTACAGAATATGGAATACATTATTTACCACACACAACAGCTGTTACCACATACATGGAAACCCTTCACCGGGAACTCGTTCAGAACAAGGTAATCAGTCGTTGAAGCTGAACGCTGCTTTTAAAGAATTTGAGCCATTAAATGATAGGGGTAATAAGGAGTATACTTTTCACAAGGTATCTATCGCCCCTTATTTACGGATTTAGAATGGAGTATTTGTATATATTTGTCCCTTTGTATATACATGCATGTAAACATTCACGCAAGAGTAGGGATCACGGGTGTTTCGCTGTGCAGAGTTGCGTCCCTTGGGCACGCCAGAAACCTATGATTGTGGGTTCGAATCCCGGTTCACCCCGATTATGTTTCTATGTTTGTCAGCACCATACCAGTGCTCGAGGGTTTCACCGCAGTGGTAAACGTCTGAGACCCGCCCGCATCACTTCAGGCTTTCCTCCCACATTGAGCTGACACGCCGCGATATAACTGTAATACTGTTAAAAACGGCGTTAAACCCAATTCACTCACTCACTCACTCACGCAACAGTACCCGTCGAAAAGCGGGGTTCTAGACTATTGGGGTTTCATGATATGTTAATACATATCTTCCATGAAATGATGTACTTTTACAGCAGAGGAAATGCTTATACATACATCAGACAGATGGTGGCCGTACACTGAAGTCCCGCAGAAACAAGGTAGGTAACTCCCTTAAAGATGTCCAACGTATACTTGTAGATCTCGCTAAACATGGGCGTCCCAGTTATCGAGGTAATGATGTTGGCAATGGCTAAGCTTGAGAACACAGCACCTGAAAAGTTTGTTTGTTTGTTCGTTATTTAACACCGCACTCAGCAATATTCCAGTTTTATTACGGCGGTATGTAAGTAATCGAGTCTGGACCAGACAATCCAGTCATTGACATCATGAACATCGATCCAAGCAACTGGGATACGATGACATGCATCAACCAAGTCAGCGAGCCTGACCACCCGATCCCGCCTCTTTCGACAAGCATAGTCGCCTTTTACGGCAAGCATGGGTTGCTGAAAACCTATTCTATCCCGGATCTTCACGGGTCGCACCTGGTCTTCAACTTGCCAAAAAGAGATACATACCTTGTCGATCAGCCCCGGCCATGCTCGATACCATGGATTTAATTATCGTCGAAACTGACAAATCAAATGCTGATATGAAGGCCACTGAAATAAACAAATATCATATATTGTCAAAAAGAATGATAAAGTAAAATGTCCTTGCTGTAATAAATGTTATTTTCAGTGTCAACAATAATGTGTCCGTTGCTTTGTCATGAAACAGTGAGTGAATGAGCTAGGTTAAACGCCGCTTTTAACAGTATTCCAGTTATATCGCGGTGTGTCAGCTTAATGTGGGAGGAAAGCCCGAAGTGATGCAGGTCTCAGGCGTTTACCACTTCGGTGAAACCCACGAGCACGGGTATGGTACTGACAAACCCAGAAACATAATCCGTGCCAACCGGGTTTCGAACCCACAATCATAGGTTTCTGGCGTGCCCAAGGGACGCAACTCTACACAGCGAATCTCGGCGCCTTAGACGACTGGACCACCCGTGTCCCTGTGATGAAAGAGAGGTGTACCCCTTATATACTTGATTACTTTCAGTAGGTTCGTTTTTTTCTCTCGTTTTTTTTGGTTTGTCTTGTTTTGTTGTTGTTTTTGTGTGTGTGTGTGTGTTGTTTTTTTGTTGTTGTTGTTGCATGTTTTGTTTGTTTGTTTGGGTTTGTTGTTTGTTTGTTTTTTGTTTTGTTTTGTTTTTGTTTTTTTTGTGTTTTGTTTTTTTGGGGGGGGGTAGCGACATTGTGCCCAATTCAGTTTAGGTCTGTATGTCGTGGTATGTGTTCTATGGAACTTACACATTGTGTCTATGTAATTAGGTAAACAATTAACTCTTAGAAGGTATAATGTGACTTAACTGTCAAACAAAATCATGTTTGTACAACATTTTTCATAAAGACAAGTAATGGCCCTGTTCTCCCAACGGAGTGGCCAATAGTTTGTCATGCTCACCTCCATACATCATGAAGTTGTCATAAGCAAATGCCTTCAAAACAATTCCTCCTGTGTAGGCGATGTTGCTCCAAATGGCGATGAACCGATCGTTGAAGCAGCATTGAAACAGCTTCAAGAGAGGGAGTTTTATTACCTCAGCGAATATGGAGGATGCCGTGCTATAGTACCCCATCATCTCTGGGCTCCAACAGAAAGGGTAGTTCATCTCCCATAGTGTACCAATGTTGCCAGTTTTTCCAGCAATTTCGTGGAGGAAATATGCAACCAATGCCAATGAAAACATTACTCGCAGTTTGACTGTACCTTCGAAAAAGTAAAAGCTAAACACGTTCCGCACAGCTTTAAGGGGAGTAAGAAATTTTCTCTCCTCGAGTTTCTTCTTCCGTAGTTTGGATGCGGCGGCTACCTTTCTCTTCCCCGGGAGGATGAATACAACAGCCAGTATGTTGAGCAGTAGGATGGCTGCTGCAGTGAGGGAAGGAAGGACGAATCCTTGAAGTTGTATGTAGTAGCCCACGCCGGTGGACAAGGCGGCCCCCGTCAGTGACTCGGTAATGGTTGTAGCAAGAAGAGCAACGGTTCGAGACCCTTCAGGTGGCGTGTTGTCAGCAACGAATGCGCTGCATGCAATGACGAAAATCTCAGATGAGCAAACGCCAGTTAGAACTGCTGTAAGAAAAAATATTCTGATGTCAAGAGACCATTGTATGGTTATTGTCACTAGAATATAATCTATCAAATGTCCTATCAAGGGCAGCAGGAACAGCATCTTTCTTCCAAAATAATCCGAGTAGGCACCGAATAGAACGGTGCTGACTAGGGAAAACGCACAGCTGACCAAGGAAAAGTACATGTTCATCTGAGATGCAAGTTTTTGTGCTTCTTCTTGAAGAGAGTACCCGCTGTTGCTGTTAGAGTCGCTCGTATTACTGGAGGGTTTATAGCACTGAGTGGCGTTCAAGGTACTTGAATTGTGTCCTGACGGTAGTGTGCTGTTACCTAGCACTTCATCCAGTATTCGTCGATAAAGGTATTGTGAATATACGGGAGCGTGCATGTGGTTAGCAATGGTCCAGATGATCTGAATAATGTTCAGCAACACTAAATTCATTACCTGTACCTTGGCAGTGACCTTGCCTTTGTTCGCCTCTTTGTCCAGGAAAACCTCATCCTCACTTCCACCGCTCCTTTGTCTATTGAGGATCCTACAGATCTCATCTGGGTCTATCGCAGTCCTTTCATCAAGGCTTGTTTGGGGTCTTCGGCGTTTCAAGCTCTGAGTCCATCCATCATCACTATCATCTGATTCTGCCGAATGTCGGAGCGGTGGTGCAGACTTTGGTCTGACTCTAACATAGACATCCTCGACATCCCTTGCTCCTACACTGGCGATGCTATCGTCCCAGGATATCTGTCTACGACTGAGTGGATCGCAGTCTTCTGTGGACTCGGAGAATTGGATTTTACCGCCAGGAGTCCTTTCTAGATCTCTTCCCAGTAGGGGTGTCCTCTCGCCCATCTTTGCTGCTGCTGATGTGGGTATGTGTTACATCTACTACAGATGTGTTGTTCTGTTTATGTCAGGTATCATATAGCTGATATGATATGTCATATACGTCACATGTCCAATGATCTCTCCGTGTGTGTAGCTGACCCTGTTATCTCTTGTTGACCATGGTTAAAGACTTCCAGTCGAAGAACATTTGCATCATGGTAAACGTGAAATATAAAATCACATATTTTGTGCCAGCTATTACACGACTCATGTTTTCATGATAATTGCAACTTTGATTTTGAAGGAAGTGTAAGCTTTGTCCTGAAATAATACCTTCCCGGTCATGCGATAGGTCAGACCAATGGTAATCTGAGGTTGGTCATATGACATCTCGACCCAAGCAAACTTATGAGTTTCCTCATGATAAGACAGGTATTGTGACACATAACCCACTTCAGGTATGACTTTACTCCTTCCTGATTCACTCAAAGATAATAGGTCATGTGAGTGGGTGTTGACAAGTTGTGTGACACAGATACGTTCGGGTGCTGGCAGCCAAAGGTTTTTAATCAGGTGAATCTTAAGGATCCTTGTGCACGACCACTACAAAAGCATGTCATCTCCAGCTCGTTATATGTCAAGATATATGTAGAGATAATTTTCAATTTCAAGGTTGAAAACCCGGAACTGATGACTTATTCGGTATTTGTGTAATCCATTACTATTTATGCCTAGTGGTAAATGAATTATGGTTCAAAAGGGCGTGAAACCTTATTCACTTGGAACTTCTGAAAATATGTTCACTGAATGAAAAGAATTAGAGACAGACCATTTTAATCCATAGTGTGCGTGCGTGCGTGCACGTGTTTATGCGTGTGCGTGTGTATGTTCTCATAATTGGGCATGTGTGTACGTGTGCATTCTCCAGTATTCTCTGGAACAATCGGTTTCAGTGAAGAAATCCAATACCCCCCACCGCCCACCCACCATCCAACTACCATCAAACCACCATCCAACCCACCCGCCCACCATCAAACCACCACCCACCCGCCCACACACCGACCATCAAACCACCACCCACCCGCCCACCATCCACCCATTATCCACCGTCCATCCACCCACCATCAAACCACCATCCACCCACCAACCACCATCCATCCACCCACCATCAAACCACCACCCACCCGCACACACAACGACCATCAAACCACCACCCACCCGCCCACCATCCACCCACCCACCATCAAACCACCATCCACCCACCATCAAACCACTAAGGATTACCAAATGGTTTGTCCCGAGTAGATGACATGAACTCTTTTCTGCCAAGTGGGGAAAGCCGAGCCGCAAAACCCTTGCTAAATTACTTCATGAAGTTCCTTGTAACAAATGAAAATAAACGAAGGAAAAGTAGATCATATTTATGGTTAAATATAAACGTTAGATAACCACATTCCAAGAAGTGATAATACAGAGATAACATGTGGTGTCGAGCTACAATTATGTGATACCAAGCGATGGCGCCTCAACGACTTGATAGTCCTTGGCAGTTCTCTTCTCAAATAAAACAGAAACGTTTTATACCAATAGTACTCAAAGAAAACGAATACGTGAAATATGTACATGTATATAGTATTTCCATCGCAAAATCATATCCGAGTGTCATAATATCATATCATAGACGAATAAATCAATGACAGTTTTGATAACATCACACTGTGTCAGTCTATATTTTGGCTCATGTTCACAATCAAATGTTAAGAGTTAAGCAATACCCCAGCTATATTGACGATGGCCTGTAAATACTGATCCAGGTAATCCAGTGACTGAAAGTACGAACAACGATTCTGATCAGCGGATCCTGATTATCCGATCACTTCCTTATATTATTGCTAAAGGAGGCGTTAAACTACTTATTTAGACCCGCTGATCTTGGGTTCAAATCCCAGATTGTGCCATCATAATATCCAAGCTTGCTGAGATGAACAGTGGTTTGTTTGTTTGTTGTTTTACGCCGCACTCAGCAATATTCCAGCTGTATGACTGCGGTCTGTAAATAATCGACTCTGGAACAGACAATCCAGAGATTGCCATCATGAGGATCGATCAACGAAATTGGGATGCGATGACATTCATCAACCAAGTCAGCGAGCCTGACCACCCGATCCCCTTAGTCGCCTCTTACGACAATCATGGTCGCCTTTTGCAGCAAGCATGGGCACAGTCTACGACATATGTTAAGCTTACACGCCACAATAGGAACCATTCCCCAGTTTGGGAGCAGAGTTGTGATGAAGTCAGTTAACTTCCGGAATAAGGAATAAATATATATATATATATAAGGAAGTCTGTGAGTCTGTGAGGTTTGATGAGTGATTGGATGAATTCATGCATGGCTTGTCATCAGTTGTACGATAGAGATCCGAGGGCAACCTCATCACATGTCATCACACCTGGTCGTCGTCCTCCGTTGGGGTCGTGCTCTTCGGCTCCGTCTGGTTGTCATGGATACTGATGTGTTCCACCTTAGTGTGGTATCCCATCCGACTCAGAACGGCATATATTCTGCAATAAAGATGAGTAAAAAGTATGATTTTAAGGCCACTGTTAGCAATAAACTATTAAATTCACGGCGAACGAGTCCGATTCGCATTGGACTGAGGCAGGCATGGGAACCAGAATAGGGAGCAAAGGCTTCAACTACTTTGCCAATAATGTGGATGGAGATGGCATGACATGTCCATCCTGACTCCAACTGATAGGGTACCATACCGAATAATATTCTTTAGAATCATACCCTTGTTCATGGGTTTCACCAAGGGTGTACCTCTTAGATCTGCATCAATTTGGGATTTCCTCCCACATTGTGCTGACACGTCAGGGTATAACTGACTGATATGTTGCTGCTCAAACCTCACTGACGGAAACGAAATTCCATTTGAAAATAATAGTCGGTGCCTGTTCAAGTCCACAATACTTACACAATCATGATGGTGGCAACAGCTTGAAATCCTGCCACGACCAGATAGGACACACCCTTGAATATGTTTAAAGTGTACTGGTAGATTTCACTGAAGACAGGCGTCCCTACCAGACTGCAGATAATGTCAATAATGGATAGACTTCCAAATAAAGCACCTGTTGGAAGACAATGACGTCATTTAGGTGAGGTGAGGTGAAATGGGTTTTAACGTCGCCTCCAAGATTATTGCACTTATATAGCGATGTGCATGCACGTGTATGTGTGGCTGCTTGTACTAGTGCGGACTGATGCCGATTTATAGTGCTAGCACACTGAGATACCATGCCGCAGTTTAACATGAATACCCCAGTCCGAGCCGACCAGTCCTTGTTTTAGCAACTTAATGCCGAGCGCCAGACAGGGTAACAACAAGTACCATCTTTTAACGTCTCTTGGTATGACGCGGCTGGGGATCGAAACCCGGACTTTCCGCTCTCCGGGCGGACGCTCTACCATTAGACCACGGAGGCGGTCCGTCATTTAGGCATTATTTATACACAGAAGGCTTGGGAAGAGGGGAAATATGAAATAATTTATGAAGCGGCCCAAAAACTAGCTTAAATATTTCACAAGTGTTAGTTCAATGCAAAGTATATTGTCATTACGGTTATACAGGTTGTCGTAAGGAAACAACGTGACATCACGTGGGATACTCATCAGCGTTATTCTAACATGTGATAAAACAATTTACGTGTAGCCCAGACAAGTGATCAACCAATCCAAATGATCAACCAATCTAGCCTTACCCTGGCATGTGATCAACCAATCTAGCGCCACACTGACGTGTGATCTAAATACCTAGTTTGCCCTGGCGTGTGATAAAATATCCAAGTTTTACCTTGACGGTCAGGACCGGCCATTGCTGACATGATAGACTGGATTGCGGAGATTAGAGCTACATCAAAGGATCCGACGGCTGCAACTGAAAAGTAACTAACATTTAATAAACATCCTATTATATGAGATTACTGTCAAATGTGCGCATATAGTTTTGCAATAGAAACTATACAATACACATCAGTCGGAGAACTCACTCGAAGATTTTGACGAAGTTTTTCGTCAGTTCACATTCAGAAAATACAAATGTTTATTAAAAAATGTTAGTCCCTATTCCCCTAATTTGATTTGTACTATATGTTCCCGTGTTTCTTTTAGGTGAACAGTTGACATGCCTTTGCATGTGTTTGTAACAGGTGCCACCGGGGCAGGATACGCTCACCTTTTCGCGAACACCTGGTATCATTACTTTTTGATAGTGATTCATGAACACATGCTCATGATATAGTCGGAATCGTGCAATCGACTCTGCTTTATACAGAAATTATTATTGGATATGGAAGGGGTTTTGTTGCTTTATTTCACTTTGGATCACAGGCCAAAGTTTGGTCCTCAATCTATGAAAGTGGCAATGAACTCACTATTTTGTACCTCGAAGAATGTACACACAATTGCATTTAGTACGTGTGAATTAATGTGTACTCTGACAGCCACACAACAACAACCTGTATCGTGGAATAAAATAGTTCCTCCAAAGGAGAGGTGACATGAGCGTATGTATGCCGAATTCGCTACATTTTAACATATTTTATAGTTTACTGACAAGTGGATTTCTTTGTTCTTCACTATTATGAGTCGCAGCGAGGGTATTCGTGGACGAGCATGCAGTCAGACTTTCTTTCCTAATAAAAAAAATAACTCGCACAAGTATAGGTGACAATCACGTTCCAAAACACAGTCAATAAGAACCTTAAATATCAGATTGTACACCTGATTTTTAATAACCATAAACATCGGTCGATCAAATAACACTTCACTTCCCAAGCTAAACCGAGTCTGTTCGAATGTTCGGGAATCTATAAGGAGTCTGGAAAGCTAGATAAATCCAAGAAATGTGATGCTTACCCCCGTACATCAAGAAGTTGTTGGTAGCAAATGCCTTTAGAATATAGGCTCCAACTACGGCGAGGTTGCTCCAGATGGCGATGAGCACGTCGTTGAAGCAGCACTGATACAGCTTCAGAAGAGGGATTTTTATCAGTTGAGAAAAGATGGAGGCTCCGGTTCCATAGTAACCCATCATCTCCGGACTCCAACATAAAGGCCAGGTCATCTCCCATAACGTACCGATGCTACCAGTTTTCGATGCAATTTTGTGAAAAGCCATTGCCAACAAAAGAATTGAGAACATTATTCTAGTTTTCACAGTACCTTCGGTAAAGTAAAAGCCAAAAACATTTTTTATGGCTCCTAACGGAGTAAGTAACTTCCTCTCCTTCTTCTTCTGTTTCCTCAACACTGAAGACGATGGCGTCTTTTTAGTTTCTGGCAGGATGACTACAACAGCCAACACTGCAAGCAGCACAATTGCGATCGAAGTCACACATGGGAGGAAATAGCCTTCAAGTTGTATGTAGTACCCAACACCAGTAGCCAAGGCTGCATTGGTCAAAGTCTGTGTTATTCCCATTACAACTAAGCCAGTGGTCCGTGAACCCTCAGGGGGCGTATTGTCAGCGATGTAAGCCAAGCATGCAATAGCGAATAGTTCAGTACTACAAATTGAGCCTATTACAGTGCCTATGAATAAAATGTAAAAGCTTAATGACCAATGAATGACGGCGGTTGTCAGGGCAAAATTGAGTAGCGTGCCAATCATTGGAATTAAAAACAATACTTTTCGACCAAAGTAATCCGAATAGGCACTAAAGATGACCGTACTCACAAGACTAATAGAACATCCTGTGACTGTAAATCTTATGCTCCATGTCGTCTGGAGCTGTTCGGCCTTTTCTTGTAAGGAGTTTGTCCCGTTTGAACCTGAAGCGTTGAGGGATGGATTTTCACAGTAGGATGCGTCATAGCTCGAATTATTGCCGTCAGAAGAACGCGACGTATTCCCAAACACTTCTTCTTCCAACCTATGGAAGAAATACTGACTCCACGCCGGGCCGTGGATATGGATGGCTATAGACCAGATGATAAGGATGATGTTCATAAGAATGAGGTTTACAACCTGAGTCTTGGGAGATTCCTCCTTCCTGTTGGTGTCTTTGTTGAGGAACTCCCCATCCTCATTGTTCCTACTCTTCTGCCTGTTGAGGGCCCAGCCTACCCAATCATCGTCATCCATCTCCTCTTGGTCGCCTAGACTTGTCTTAGGTCTATGTCTCTGTGCAGACGTTGTGTCTTCATCGTCGTTAACAATGAGGGTTCGTCTCAAAGGTGGAGCAGACTTTGGTCTTGCATTCACCCTCACTTCAACATCAGCAATGATATGTCCTTTGAATTTAGCATCAGTGGACGCCCTGATCAAAAGGGGATCACCCTCCCCATCCTGTAGGATACCCCTTACATCAGGCCTATTTGCAGACCCATCAAGAAGTGGCGTTCTTTCATCCATTGTTATGAAAGAAACAGTTCAAGTCAAAGAACGAAAATGTGTGCTGCTCTCATGCCAGAATCATTATTGCTAATAGAACTATTGCAACGTATCTTGTGCAGCTAGCCCCTGGACAGTCCTCATGAGTCATTCATCGTAAATGCCAGCATTATCTTACCCTCACCCTTATCAGTTTTATCACTGTAATATGTGAGGTAACCAAAGATAAAAAAGGGTATCAATGTCACCAACGTCACATGTTAGATCATCTGAGTCGAAGATAATGTAAGCACACGTAAATTGTTCTCACATATGATACATCATATTAGTTTTGTCAATGTTGGCTTCTTAAATGCGTTTGTAATGATGAAAAAGTCATTGTTGAGCCGCATCACGACAGTCTGTAAATACTCCAGTCTGGACCAACGTAATTAATACTCTACAGTTGATGTAAAATGAGTTGTATTTAGGGTTTACACTTTCTAGTAAAGTACAAACTCTGGCACTCGCTGCCATTGTGTGTTAGCGATAAGGTGCCTCGCTCTGAGAGTGTGGGTTCGAATCCCGGATATATATACTCAAACGCAAAAGAAACGCAAGTGGTTTTAAGCAAATAGGTAACAAACACGGAAACATAAATTGATACGAGTTTTAGCATTTAGTGAAGCCTTATGGTGTTATCAATATATTTGGTTGCATTTTGGAAACCCCGAGTAAAAACGCAACATAAAAAACGAATCGCCAAAACGCACCATTTCAATGACTATGTGGGTATCATGCACCCTTTTCTCGCGAAATCGTAAATGCACGAACTGTCACGAACTGTAGTGGGTATAAAACTGTGGCCGATTCTTGGACCTAACACTCCTTGGACAACAATGCCACGCCTAACTCAAATTCAGAGAAACCAGACTATCGGACGTTTGGAAGCTGGAGAGCCTGTCCAAGATCTTGCCCGTCATTTCAACGTTAACATAATCACAATTTACCGTCTCCTGCATCGATACAATGCTTCACAGACCACAGATGACCTTCCTCGGAGCGGTCGTCCTAGGGTCACCACACCTCGACAAGATCGGCAGATTGCCCGTCAACACCAGCGACATCCGTTCCTAACTGCAAGTGAAAGTGCTCGACAGACCATAGGAACACATAATCGACACATTAGCTGGGACACTGTGATCCGACGTCTCCGTTCCAACAACCTCAGATGTCGCCGACCAGCACGTCGTCCTGTTCTCCAACCACGGCATCGACAAGCACGACTTCAGTGGGCACAGGGTCATCGCAATTGGCGTCATCGTGAGTGGAGGCGTGTCATCTTCTCTGATGAAAGTCGCTTTTGTGTTTCCCATGCAGACGGAAGAGTCAGAATTTGGCGGCGTCGAGGTGATCGTTTCGCTGACAGAAACGTTGTGGAAAGGGGTCCATGGGGTGGACCTAGCGTCATGATAGGGGCAGGGATTGGACTTAATGCGAGACTTAGACCCATGTGCTTTTTGAATGTTGTTCAAGGTCGGGGACACGGCGTCAATGCTCAGCGGCATATCGACCAAGTGATCAGACCCCATGTTGTTGCATTTTTTGCGCAACATCAACAACACATTTTCTAGCAGGACGACACTCGTCCCCATGTTGCCAGAGCTACCGTGGCCTTTCTGCAACAACACAACATCCGCGTTCTACCGTGGCCAGCCCTCAGCCCTGGTCTGAACCCCATCGAACACTTGTGGGATTCGGTTCAAAGGCGTCTGCACAATGTGCGCCCAGTCCCTACAACTGCCGATGAACTACGCACAGCTGCTCTGGATGTGTGCAGGAGGATGCCTAGGGCCTTCACAAATCGTCTGATCCACTCAATGTACAGGAGATGTGTGGCAGTGATCAATGCTAATGGTGGTCACACCAGGTATTGACTGACATTTTGGGTATTGACCTGAAACTGTGTAAGCCATTAACAATTATGTCATCTGCCTTTTAACCCATTAAACTGTCTTTAGTAAAAGAATTGTCAATCTTGCCCTATTAGTATTTCTTGTCTTTATTGTTGAAAATATATAACAGGTATACTGCATACTCGACTTGCGTTTCTTTTGTGTGTGAGTATATATATATATATATATATATATATATATATATATATATATATATATATATATCATGGCAACTTTTAAATGATCAAATCATCAAACCAGGGCTTGATAGCATGAGCTACGATTGAACGGTGTCGAGTATAAACATGCACGGTGAAACATTGTAACCACCCGATCATCTTAATCGTCAGATTACAGAATCGGACCCGGAATCCCCAGGATGAGACCTAAGTGATTACAGTTGGTAATAAGATTACAATTTTGCAACATCTCACTGATGGCAAATACGTCCCGGGAGTAAGATTCTGCGTCTCCACGAATAAGTCCTGTGGACAATACTCGATTCAGAACAAGCTGTTCTTGGTGCAGAACTATGATTAACGATTTTGGAATGAAATAGATGAATTAATATTATTTAAGAAATTCCATCAAACACAGTACTTTCATTTAAAACGAAAAATAATAATTACACATACCCCAGGTTAATATATATCATCAATAAAATCCATACTTATACCACATCTTAAAAGTCTTGTAGTTGTACCATTTAATATGTTATTGAAACAATATAAATAGTAAGATAAGATAAGATCAGATAATACAAAGAAGGAATTTTCCTTACATGAAACAGTGTTCACAGGTACATCAAATAACAGCCATACGTAACACACACACACTCACACATTCACACACACACTCACGCAGTTGCACACACACACACACATTCACACACTCACATACACACTCGCACTCACACATTCACACTAACACTCACGCAGTTGCACACACACTCACATACACACTCGCACTCGCATATTCACACTAACACTCACACAGTCGCGCACACATTCACACACTCACTCACACACATTCACATAAACACTCATACACACTCACTCACACATACACACGTACTCACTCACACACACACATTCACACATTCACTCACAAATACACACACTCATACACACATTTACTCACACACATTCACTCACACACTCACACAAACAATCACACACACACACACACTCACATTCGCACATCACTCACACACACTCAAACACACACACACACAAACACTCACACACACACACACAAACACACACACTGGGTGTTGGTTAAGGTACAATAAAACATTGCAGGGAGAATAAACCATGAGGAGCACAGTCTGCAGTGTTTTATTGTACGATAAACAATGACCACGGGTCATTTATTTCTTACAGAGACCATATAATAGAGTCTGTTTCTTATATGAGATATCAACATTATACACAGCCTCATTAAGGATTTGATAAAACATTTACCCAAATTTTAATAATGATGACTCCCTGAATAGAATCCGACTCGGAAATGTCGGACAAGTCCATTTTACGAACAGGTGGGTTACGTTTGGTATTTCCCGAATATTCTCACAACCCTAACGTCGATTACATGTACTTTTTCTCCTAATAGCGATTGTCATATCTTACTCACTTTGGGATGCGATCGTCCCGCCACTGCGTTTATCTGCGTAGCTACATCTCTCTCTAAAAAATAACGTCATTCAGTATGTGACGTCATCAAGTTGCGAGCGCATATTAGAATCTCCAGAAATGATGTTAAGATAGAACAATGTTTTATCGTGAAATAAACAACGCTTCGTTCTTCATTGTTCTTTGTGATTTATCGCGTAGCCATCTTTTATATGCACATAATACTCCCCGAGGGTACATCTATCCGTGGGTTAAACACATGCCCCCAATGGTAAATTTGCCCTACCTTTGCAAATTTACCACCGGGGGTATTAATGACCCATTGGGTAAATGCGTTGAAGAGCTTGGCGTCATTGCTAAAGATTTCCTCAGATGCGGTTGAGATCCGGCGACCTTGACAACCAAGGTAGCATGCCGATGTACAATACAGACACATGCGATGTGTGGACAAGCACTGTCATGCAGAAAATAGCGCTTGATGCTTGCAGAGTCGAGACAACGTGAGGATACCGTCATGGTAACACAACCTGTTAAGTTGTTCTGGATAAGAACCACATTTCTGTTCATCGCCGAATAAGAGATTACTCCCCAACATCATAACACATCCTCCACATCTCTCGACTTCCTGTACGCAACATCCGGTATAACGCTCCTTCTGAAGCCGATACACACAGATCCGCACATATCTCTTTTGAAGAAGGAAGCTGGTTCTTCACAAAATACCACACCTTTGTAGACACTGAACTCGATCACGTTGAGACAAAATAACGCCAACGTAGGGTCTTTTTTTCTGGATTCCCGGGAGCTCTTAAACGGTTACAGAAGTCTGCGCATCTGTGGAACCTAAACCAGGATTCTCTTTCAGATTAATTCCTCCTTGGGGCACTTATTGCATTTTCCTTGCTCAAGAAAATCTACATGACATAGTTGTCACCATATTTCCTTAATATAAATGTTACCACACAAAAAAAACAACGTTTTTGTATGAAATATGACCACCCCAACGGGGCGACGTACGCCAAGGGGAGCGACTCTCACCCAAATCACTGTTCCTTATGTCATCTGGCAGACCAGACGTGCGTAAAGACTCAGAGAAACCTTCACCCAACTTATACGTTGAAACTTGAAGACATGGCTGACCAAACTGTATGTGTGGTATATTTCCCTTTTCTTCCTTGCAAAGGCGTAATTCCTCGCATTCTATGGTTTCTTAATTGTGGTAACTTGGCCGCCACGTGCACCAAGCGGGTTCCAATTAACTCCTGCTCGGTCCCAGGTGGCCCAACAGTTACCAGTCCTCATGCTGCCGACTGTTGGGGTTCATTGCCTGAAGCCGGAAGTTCCCGTGGGCGGCCGACTCTCTCTCTTCCTGTCGGAATGGGAGAAGGTGTAATCCAATCCCTGGGTCATGTCCACACTCAGGGAAGGCCACTTGCCTCAGTGGAAACGTCTTCCGCCACCCTTCTTCGGGATAAGGTGCACTCCGGTGCCCGCTACCCGAGAGAAGGCGGACATACTTCGGGCCGAGATCGTAGCACTGCTAGACAAAGCTGCTATCGAGCCGGTTCCAATGGGATAGGAAAGCGAGGGCTATTACTCGACTTATTTCCTCGTCACAAAAAAAGACGGAGGGTGCAGACCTTTTCTCAACCTGAGAAAACTGAACAAACTCATAGAGGTACCGTCCTTCAGGATGGAGACACTGTGCTCAGTGATCTCTGCTGTAGAGTCCGGGGAATGGCTGACGTCAATAGACCTCAAAGACGCCTATCTCCATGTACCTATACACCGCGAGTTCAAGAAATACCTGAGATTTTCTTTCGACGCGAGGTGTTATCAGTTCCGGGTTCTACCCTTCAGGATCCCCGAGGGTGTTCACCAAGCTGATGTTGATTCCTGCCCAAGTGGCCAGGTCAAAAGGTCGGTTCTGTCATCCGTACCTCGACGACTGGCTGCTACGAGCGCTATCTCATATGAGTCAGATTGCTACACAAGAGGTGTTAGACATTCTGGTATCTCTAGGGTGGATAGT